AAGAAAAAATTATTCATTAAGATTGGAAGAATTGGTTAGAAATTATACAACTATTTGTTTCGTAAATTTGTATCCAATTTGCACGGTTTTAAATTGATTTGTATTTAGAATTGTTTTCATAAATAATTGACACATTTTTTGCATAAGAATCTCTAAATTTGTTACCAAAAAAGAAATGATTTAAATTTTGGTAAAAAAATAAAATATGATACGAAAAAAATGGGGATTCAAATTTTTCCATAAGAATCTCCAAATTTGTTACCGAAAAAATAGGATTCAGATTTTGTTTCTAAAGATTTACATGTATTTTTTCGAACTTTCCATTAATAGTAAGTCAAACATTATATTTATTTGGTCAAACTTTCAATTAATGTATTTTTCCAACAACCTCTTTATATATATATAGATATAGATATAGATTACTCAAAGGAGTTTATGAGATAAAAATTGACATGCATAAGCGAAAACTGTGTAGGGGCTTTCATGTTTCTACTTGCATAAGCGAATAACTAGGGATGGAAATGCAAGGTGAATATTTTTTAATTTTTTTTTTTTGAAAAAAAAACACTTTAAAAAATAGGGAATCATTAATACATATGATCAAAATTCGAAAGGATAAAAATAGATCGATCATAAACAATGGAAATGCAAGGTGAATTATTTTTTAATTTTTAAAAAAAAAAGAAAAAAAAACACTTTAAAAAATAGGGAATCATTAATACATATGATCAAAATACGAAAGGATCAAAACAAATCGATCATAAACAATGTCTATCACGGACAATAAAGAATTAGAAATATTTCCAATTCAAAGAATATCAAACAAAAGTTTTATCATTCTGATGCGAACCAAGCACCCGAGCTCCGCACGAGGATAATGGGACAAAACATCGCAGTAGGAGCAGGCTTCATGCCGCTAGGCTTGCCGCGCCGCTACAACCGTCGCGAGTGGACATAAACCGTAGGTCAATGAAGCTTCGCGCCGCGACGGAGGCATGAACCTGGACAAAGACCTGTTGATTTGCAGGAGTTAGTTTCAGTTTCCATTCAAATTCTTAAGGTGTTTTGCATGATGGATGGTTTTGCATGTTAGTTTCATGCACTTTGTGTTAGTTTATTAGCTTTTGTTTTAAAATTTAAAATCAATAGGTTAGTTATCAAAATTGAAAAACCGGCAGGTTAGTATTGGAGAGTGTGTTTTGTCTTAAAAGACTCTTGTACTCTCATTTGGAAATTATGAAATAAGAAATAACAAAAAAATCTTTGTGTTAACCGACACTCATTTAGCGCAATTTTTGCTTATTTTATCGTGTTCGAACTAAGGTCGTTAGCGCTGTGTAGTTCATCACATTCCTAGAGTAACTTGCTAACACCATATTTTTTTTCTAAAGACAAATTACATAAAATCAATTAGAATAAATTTATACTTCAATCTATCAAATAAAAAGATGATTATGGAAATTGTAACCTTACATATACAAATTACATAAAATCAATTAGAATAAAATTCAAATATGTATTCTTTAAAACCTAACCGTATTTTTTTTACATAAAATCAACTAAAATAAAATATATTTAAATATTTATTCTTTAAACTATCAAATACAAATATTTATTCTTTAAAACCTTACCGTATTTTTTTTACATAAAATCAATAGAATAAAATTTATTTAAATATTTATTCTTTAAACTATCAAATACAAAGATGATTAAATTTATTAAGTTTACAGAAATGAGACCTTTTATATAACACATAATAACAAAATATATAACATTTTCCAAGGCTGGTCAGTAGGCTGGTGGTGGGTAGGCTGCTGGTGAACAGGTTTGTTTTGACTCCAAGGCTGATGCTGAGGAGCAGGTTTGTTCAATATCTAAATTGCTAACTTCTTAATTATGCAAACCCGGCCTATGATATAATATCATAACAAAATATATGATAGTGTAACATTCTCTAATATAATAGTGTAACAAAATATATAATATTGTAACATTCTCTCTAACTCGTTCTAACAAAAAATTTCAATATTTATAATTTAATAAAAAACTTTATATCATTATGTTTTTTTTTTTTATTAAACAACTGATTACATTTTTATAATACGTTATCTAAATTTCAATCGTTGAAACTTCAAATTTCAATCCTCATTTCATTCATTTCTACATTTGTTGAAAAAGATTTAGAAACACAAAAGGTTACCATGCTTTCATTATATTACTCATTTCTAAACTTTTTAGAAAAATTAGAAAACACAAAATCTGAAAGTAAGAAGTATTTTAGAAAATTTTAAAAATTGATATCTTACAAATTCTTAATATATTTCATATATAAACAATGAACGGATTTGATAATATAATTCCTTTTTATTAATAAATATATTAAATTAAAAAATAATAATATTTAAATTAATTGAAAATGATGTTAGCAAAAGTAAGACATTCTTTTTAAATAATTCACGTTGTACTCGAAATCTGTTGATCCGGATTAAGCTTGTTAAACAATGATGACATGGACAATAAGCCTACACTAACGATATCCCAAAGACACGAAGTACAATGCCAACACAAGGGAATGAGTATACACCGGCTCGGACAAGGACGCCACTTTCTAAGTCGATCCCTTCCTTTGCGTGGATCTCATTCCAGGACGTAAGTCCAGACTGACCTCTCCATAACTGAGAAGGGTTACCTCATCACATCGGCCACAAGAGAGTGAAAGCTCCCTTTGTATCGATCTCAACCATACCTGGTGTGGGAAGATAAGCCACATGAGCAAGTTGCGAGGACACGCGTCGCATTGCATGTCGCTAATCCATGAGAGTCCGTCATGTGTCCCCAAAAAAAGTAAATTAAAGGACTCTTCCTATAAATATGATTCTAATGGCCTTCAATAGGCTCTTGTAACAAAAGAGGTATTGGAGAAGTCAAAATTCATAAATAAATCCTCGATGCGAGGGTATCAAACGAATACCTAATTCGTAGACTGTCTTATTGTCCATGCTTCTTTTTTATCTTCAATCTTCATTTTCATCTTGATAAATCTTAAAATCATAATCCCTCCCCAAAAATCGTGTATTACCGCTTTGTAGTTAGCGAAAAAGATCAACAATAGTTCAAAACTATCAACCAATAATGTATAACACTATAAATTTAAGACTACATACATACAAATAAATAAAAAATCTTAATATAAATAAAACCTGAAAAATAGGTGAAATACATTAATAAAATTTTTACACTGCATCAACTATTAAAATATAAAAGTTTGTAAATAAGATCAATCTGAATGTAAATAAAAAAAGTCATTGAAAATTTACTTATGTTTTTTCATCTATTTTTTCGTTTCTTATTTATATTATATTAGCGTAAAAATGGATAACTTCGAAGTATTAATAATCTATATATATATAATAAGAATTAACATTTACCATAAATAGTAGTAAGGAAAAATCAACCACATTTATTATATACTATTTTCAGTAACTTTTACATTTTACATTTTAATTTTAATTCATTATCAAAAAATTGGATGGTTCCTAAATTAATGGGTTTTAAATGCACGTATCATGTTTCAAAAATTATAAGTCATTTAAAATCGGAGGGTTCATAAATTAATGGTTACAAACTTTTCAAAGTTGTAATCTTTATGGCATCTTTTCTTTTTTACTTTTAATAATAAAATTATTTTAAACATATATATTCTAATCCAAAAATTCAATCATGTTAAATATATATATATATATATTGAACGCTAAAAATATTTTTTAAATTACATACCCAATCAATTAATCTTAATTTTTTTAAAATTACTATGTTTATTTTTTATTAATATGTATAAAATAAAAATAAATAGTTCATCTTTGGATATATAATTTATAATCTTAATATACTATCATTTGGTGTAGACATATGAATCATAAAATATTTTTATTTCATAAAATTAAATATTATATTTAAAGAAAATAAGGAAATTACTTTGGATCAATCGGGTGATTGAATTAGGGTACTGTCCACTTTGATTTAATTACTTTTAGGTGATATTTAAAATAGTCAAAAAACTTGACATAACTTGGTTGGTCCGATGTAATTAAGTTATGTATCAGTTTGACCAGACCAAATTGATTATTGAACCTAAATATAAATTTTAATATTGAAAATATTTTATTACGTGAATGTGATGTCGTCCAAACTTCAAATAATCATATTAACAATACTTTTATGACAACGTTGATTAATGATTTATGAATATTTATATATCATTTTATTATTATTTATGTGAACAAAATATTTATTTCATTATCATTTTTATTAATGTACGGTAAATATAAGGTTTTCAGAATCGCACCGTCTTGTGGTTGTTCAGATTTTAATACATAATACTTTAATATATATATAGTACTTTTTGCAATAAATTTAAATAGAAAGTGTTACTTAAATATCTAAACAATTTATAAATTCAAATGTTTAAACTAATTGATAAACAATTTATAGATCTCTATTTTATTTAAATATGTAATTTTATTTAAAATAATTTTTCATGTAACAAAATTTGTTTAGAAAATCGTATCGATCTTACCAGTCCAACATACTGGTGTTGGCGGATTCGATAGCAAATATTTTATTCAAGCGCACTAAATCGGTTATAAACCGGTTCTCGGTCCATCCGGTTGGATTATGTCCAACCAGATTTAATTTATAAATAATGGGTAAATTATGATTAATGTTATTTATTTATTTAATTTATAATACAATCAAAATATTATTTTCCCGTGCATCGCACGGGCCACGTACTAGTGTTAATCTTAAATGATATAATATTATTATTATTTAGAATCAATATAATTTATTATTGATTCGAATTGACAATTTAACCTATCTTTCTTAACTTAACTTAAATTTGATAAAATTATTTTTACCCACCACAAAAATGCCCCCAAACTAAGCCCTAGCCATCGAACACAGCTATTAGGATACCTTCCCTAAACATCAGCGGATCAGCCATGCCCTACCTCCCAGAGGAGATCGTCCTCATCATCCTCTCCCGATTACCCGCCAAGTCCCTCCACCGATTCAAATCCGTCTGCCGCTCATGGCGTTCCGCCATCTCCTCCGACCTCGATCTCCTCCGCGCCCACACCCGCCATTTCGCCCTGCACCACAGCAGCCTCTCCGTCGGCACGCCGCGCATCTTCCGCCTCCCCCACCACTGCCCCTCCGCCTCCTCCGGCAGCTGCCGCTTCCGCCTCTACACCGCCGCCGACGGGAGCTTCCACCACGTTGAATATCTCTGCTACATTCGCCTGCCGGGGCTCTGCACCGAGTGCGCCGCCGACGGCCTGCTCGTTCGAGACCCGATCGTGGTCCGATAAACGGGTCTTCCCCTTCTACCTGGACCAGTTCGACCCGTTTTGCTGGAAGGAAGGGATTTACTTCTCGGGATAAAAATGTGTGCAGGCTCACCGGAATTATTTACTTCGACTCGAAGGATGATGATAAGGGTTTCAAATTCTGCCTCGACCGGAAGGTTTGAGGATGCAGTGTTCGATTTGGTTTGCTTGAAGGGTCGTTTGTGTGCGTATGTTTTGGAGGCAGGGGGAAATTGTATGAGAATGTGGATGAAGGAAAATGAGGGGCTGGCTTTGTGGAACAAGTTCATGGTAATTGAGAATTTGCCTATTGGGGCAATCGAGAGGTTTGATCCTCTGCTTTCGGTCGGGAGAATTGGTGAAGATATTGTTAGGGGTGAGCAAAACAGAGCCGAAACCGAAAAATCAAATTGAACCGAGCTATTCAGTGCGGTTTTTGAAGAGCTCGATTAACGGTGGAGTTTGAATTTTGGAAAACCGCAAAAATTTCGGTGCAGTTCGGTTTTCTGTCCGAAGGGTAGGGTTTTAACCGAACCGCACCGAATGTCATAAAGTGTTATTTAGTTTTACAATTTTACAGCACTTTGAGTTTTTACTTTTACATTTAAAACTTAAATAAATTCTCAACTCTCAAGTTTAACTCTAGAGCCCTAATTTTCACTCAGTCCAACTCTTGTCTCTCAAGCTCTCTCAACCTCTCTCAACCCCGCACCCGTTTTCACCCTCAAGTCTCAACCCTCCTCCGCCGCTCTGAACCCCCGTTCTCACCCTTCGGAGTTCTCGACCCCGCTCTCAGTCTCTCACCCTCTGGGCTCGCACAGTCATTCCACCGGCTTCGTCAATTTAGGTCAGCTCTCACTCTCTCGATTTTTATTTTTTTTCCTTTTCTCATTTCGATTCGACCTCTTTCATCAGTTTGTGTTATTGGATGCTTAATTTCTGTAAATCTTCAAAGAATCAATTTTTTGTCCTAATTAATTTCAGCCCCAATTTCGAAATTCTTTTTGTATGTATAATATTGTCAGTGGAAATGTGGTATGGTATTCTTATGGATGTTGTTGTATATTGTTATGGATATTGTTTTTTTATGTTGTTCTGTGTAGTTGCTGCTATGTTATGGATATTGTTTTGAATGTTGGACTTATGTAATCTTATGGACTAATACTATGTTATGGATGTTGTGTTGTTATGTACTGTTTTGAGTGCTGATAGTGTTGGACTTATTGTGGTTGTTTGGTTTTGTTAGGATGAGCATCGGTGCGGTTCGATTTTTGACCGAACAGCACCGCAATAGAAAGAAAAACCGAACCAAACCAAACCGAAAATTTTGGTTTAGTTCGGTGTTGTTTTTCAGTTAACTGAAATTAAAAAATGATTACTATAAATTAATGCTCAAACCATACGAATCAAGCTAGATTTAAGCATCGCATTATGCCATTACAAAACTAAACAACCACAATAAGTCCAACACTATCAGCACCCAAAACATTACATAGCAGCACAACATAAAAACAGCAGCACAACATCCATAACATAACATTAGTCCATAAAATTACATAAGTCCAACATTCAAAACAATATCCATAACATAACAGCACCTGCACAACACAGCATAAAAGAAAAACAATATCCAACAACATCCATAAAAATACCATACCACATTTCCACTGACAATATTATAAATAAAAGAAGAATTTTGAAATTGGAGCTAAAATTAATTAGGACAAAAAATTAATTGTTTGAAGATTTACAATCGATAATCAGAAATTAAGCATCCAAAAACATAAACAGAAGAAAGAGGACGAATCGAAATGAGGAAAGGAAATCGAGAGAGTGAGAGCTGACCCAAATTGGCGAAGCCGGTGGAATGACGAGCGAGCCAAGAGGGTGAGAGACTGAGAGCGAGGTCGAGATCGTCGGAGGGTGAGAGCAGGGTCGAGAACTTCGGAGGGTGAGAACGGGGGGTTTAGAGCGGCAGGGTTAAGACTTGAGGGTGAAAACGGGCTGCGGGGTTGAGAGACGAGAGTTGGACTGAGTGAAAATTAGGGCTCTAAAGTTAAACTTGAGAGTTGAGAATTTATTTTAAGATTTAAATGTAAAAGTAAAAGACTCAAAGTGCTGTCTGTATAAGTAAAATTGTAAAACTAAATGACACTTTATGACATTCGGTGCGGTTTGGTTAAAAGCGCACCCTTCGGACAGAAAACTGAACCGCTCCGAAATTTTTGCGGTTTTCCAAAATTCAAACCGCACCGTTAACCAAGCTCTTCAAAAACCGCACCGAATAACTCGGTTCGATTCGGTTTTGCTCACCCCTAAGTTTCGTAATGGGGTGCTTAAATCTAGCTTAATTTGTATGGTTTGAGCGTTAATTTATAGTAATCATTTTTTAATTTTGGTTAACCGAAAACCCACACCGGACTGAACCAAAATTTTTTATTCGGTTTTTCTTTCTATTGCGGTGCGGTGCGGTTCGGTTAAGAAATCATAAAAATTCGGTTTTCGGTACCGAACCGCACCGATGCTCACCCCTAGATATTGTTCTAGGTTTTAAAGGTGGGGTGAGATTTACATATAGTCCACAAAAGAAGGAATTCCGGGCGACTGGAGGGACTCGGCACTATAGATGGACGCCGTTCAAGCATAGTTTGTTGTTCCCAGGTTGAAGTAACTTTTTACTCTCAAGAGGGCATAACAACCAAGAGATATATTCTTCTTCTTGATACAACATCTCATTCTAATGGAGGTGATTTTTACTTTGTCATTAATAATATGTTGGGCATGTTATGATTTATGAATATTGTTTGATAAATCATTATAGAGCTCTTAAGTGTTAAGACTCTTATTAGTAAACAATTTATTCATGCACAAGGACGATACTTAGGTCTAAGTTTTTACCTGTTTAAGTGTTGGGGATTGCAGATTCCAAGTCGAGGCGTAAACTTGGATATATTGAGTGCGCGTTTGCCAACTTTGTAGTAACTGAATTTGACTGAACCTATGTGCTGTGGAACCCGTCCACCCGAGCCACGAAACGTGACCTTTATGTGCACATTTTTCGCTAAACGGGCCATTCGTTGACCACGGGCCTTGAAATGGTCGGGGTAAAACCATGGTTTGGTTCAGGTTTAGGTTTTTAAAAAAAATAGAATTGACGCCAAAATTCTAATTTAAAAATTGATTTTTATTTTTATTTTTTTTGAACTTTTTTTTTTATTTTTTGATTTATTTTTTTTAATTATTTTCCCGAATCAGCCCTTAGTCTTTCCCAGGCTGGTTTCGGTTCACCATAATGATGAACTTGAACTGGTAGTTTCGGCCTGGAACTGGGTTATCTTAGTCTGTCCTAGGGGTGAGCAAAACCGCACCGAAACCGAAAAACCGAACCGAACCGATGCGTTGGGTGCGGTGCGGTTTTTAGATGTTTTGGTTTGCGGTGCGGTTTGAAATTTAGATACCTGCAAATGTTTCGGTGCGGTTCGGTTTTACGTATGAACGGTGCGGTTTTAACCGAACCGCACCGAAACTTGTGTGTGTAAAATAATATTACTAGTTTATATTAATATAGTACCACATCTTACACGATTTAAAATCGTTATTCACTTCATTCATCACTGCTTCATGAAACAAGTACTTTAAGAAATAAAAAATTACGAACCCTACCCTAGCCCATTTCCCACTCGGCTACTCCCGTCCACTTCCGTGTTCCGCTGCTCCAGGCCTCCGATGCTTGCTCATATCCCGACCGGCGCTCCCATTAAAATTCGCCGTTCAATTCCCGATCTCGCCGTCTAGGTTAGCTTTCTACTCTCTAATCTGTATTCTCCATCTCTCGATTTGTAATCTATAATAGATTCGGAATAAGAACCTGCCTCTTGAAAGAATTCCTTAAATCGTTCACCATGAGAATCTTTCTCAATAAGAATTTTGGTGAAAAATGAATTTGATATGTGATCCTGGATTTGCTGTTTTGTTTGTTTTTTGAGAGGTTTTTCTTTTTCTCTCTCTCTGTNATTGCATTGCATTGCATAGATGATAGATTGCCTGGAGCTTAAGTTGGATCATTTTCTTTAAAATGGTTATGTTTTATTTATTTTGAAATGGAGACCTGTGATTCATGAAGCCTAGATGTTTATGGATGCTGTATATTATTGTAATTGTAATTATGTTTACTGATGATTTAGCCTAGTACTTTGGTTTAATTTCTGTTTTTGAACTTTCATTTGTGTAAATTGTATTTAGCCTTTATTAAGTTCGGTTAATCAAAAAAACGAACTGAACCGAACCGAAAATTTCGGTTCAGTTCGGTTTTTTCTTCACTTGCGGTGCGGTTCAGTTAACAAATTTAAGATTTTCGGTTTTCAGTTTTTTGCGGTTTAACCGAACCGCACCGATGCTCACCCCTATCTGTCCCAAGCTAGTTCCAATTCACTAAAATGACAAAATGAAAAACTTGAGCCGACGTTCCAGCCCGGAATCGGGTTTTGGCCACATCTATTCGTGAGCATGTTGTCTACTGGGTCGGGTCGTGAAATGGTTCGAGTTAACATATATGGCTTCGGGCTAAACTAACTATCTATCTAAACTTGCAACTTTAAAACATGTCAATACAGGTTGAATTCATATCCAAATCGTGCCCTAATTTTGAATCAAGCCACCATAGCGCTAGGTGATAAACTTTTGAACTTATCCTTATGTGATTAAAATTCGAACTTATTATATGCGACATGACCCACTAAAATGATAAATAGTAATTGATAAATTTATATGTTGGTGAGACATTAGAAATCATTTTATTATTCAAGCTCAATATATGATTTCCTAACTTAATTGACATTCTCACATTAAGTTAACCGACGAGGTCCACGGAGAAAATGTGGAATCAATGGTTCTTCATATCAACCAAAATATATTTTCAGAATTGTCAAAAGTTTCTGCAACACCCAAAGCTGATCTAAAATATATACAAACCACTGAGCCAGAATACGTGATACTTTTTTTCCTTTTTATTGCATCACTATTCACTCCATATGTCTGAAAAGGTGGTAAGGTTAAATCATCTACTCCCTCATATTTTTATTATCTGTCATTCTAACTTAATTGATCATTTGTTAAATAAATGTCGTTTTGACTATTTTGTACATATTTTTCCATTATTACACTCATCTAACTAATAAATACACTACGTCTTTTCATATTCACTCTCCATCTTTTCTCAAAACATCAATCTCTATCCTCATTAATGAGGGTTATTATTGGCAAAAAAAATATTCTTAATTATTGTACAACTTCTCAAAACGACATTTATTAAAAATAGGAGGCAATACTAGATTTGTATATTATGGATCAATAATCATTTCAACAAGCTCTCGTAGCTCAGTTGGTTAGAGCACCCGTTTAGTAAGCGGGAGGTCTTGAGTTCGACTCTCAACGAGAGCATTTATAATTTTTAGTAATTTTTTTTCTATATTTTTTTCCGGCATATAGAGCTCGTGCTTTTCCCGCGCGTGCCTAACCGCCCCTCACACATAAGAAACGCTGAGCTCGATAATTCTCTCTCCTCTGTCTCCATCGCCATTTGTTCTCTCAGTATCCAAATCTCTCTACTCTGAAAATTATCGTCTCTCTAACTGAAAATGAGTTCGGGGAAAATCGATGTGCGTAGTCCTGCATTTCCGTTGCTTTTTCTCGTCGCGAGCATTTTCATCGGCGCCAGTCTTCCCCGCGTTTCGTCGCAGAATTCCACTTCAATCGAGCAGATTTTCCAGTACGATAGCTACAGGGAGACGTGTCCAGATGCGGAGAAGATAGTGTGGAGTAAAATGGCGGATATCGTTTCTGGAAACGAGAACGCCACGGCGCAACTGCTGAGGCTTCTCTTTCACGATTGCTTTATTCAGGTTAAGTTTTCTGTGTTGCGTTTTGTTCTTTATCCGTCGCAATTTGTTTCGGAATTGGTTTTGGCGCTTGATATCGCTGTTTGATTTTCTTTATAGCTGCTTGGTGCTTGATTTGGTAATTTACTAGTGAAGTTGCTTCACGATTGGGTCTTGCTGGGTCTAGACAGAGGTGACAGTTAATGTGGTGTTCTGGATCTTGAACTCGCTGTTTGTTTTCTTACTGTTCGATATTTGGTTTTCTACCGCTGTTTTTGCTTGAACGACTCTAGCTACTGTCAGCGCTAGGGTAGAATTTTTGATATGATACTGTTATCTTGGTCTTGTTTTGATTTTCTAGAGGTGTTTTTTCTTGAACGACTCTAGCTACTTTCAGGGTTTAGGTAGAATTTTTGATATGATGTTGTTAATTTGGTTTTTTTTNTTGTTTGGTATCTGATTTACAAGCGAACTTTCGCATTTATTGATTATGGCTGTCGAGGGCTGTTTGGCATGCTCTGAGTATGGCCTTTCTTTAAGCTGTTCCATCTGTAGTTCTATTGTTTAACCTGAGGTCAATTACCTAAATACTGATTCTTCTATAAATTTCTTGAACAAGAACACTGTTGTTTTTCTAGAGGCCTTTTTCGTGAATAGTGCTAGGAAGAAGTCGGTGGTAATATATATGCTTTTTTGGGGTTTTCTTGAGAAGTTAGTTAATATAAATTGAGCACTCAGTTTGTCGATGGCGGCAGACGAGTTTATACGGAACCTACTATTTTGGATTTTCTGACTATTATCCTGCATGGTCATTAATTAGGTGATGCTTATTTTCCAGAGGGCATTTTACTGGTTATCAGTATTATGAAGGTTGCTCTATATGGTTTTATTTCATAGTTTTCTGTCCTTGTGCTTCTAGTAATATGGCGAGTTTCTCTGTTTGTAATTCGTATCAATTTATTTATTTCCATGGTAGTGGTTCATGACATTTATTTTCTTAATAGCGTGGATATTATTCTGTTTCCCCCTGTTGATAATTATATGTTGATGACCGTTTGTGCGTTTTGTTATTCTCTTAGGGATGTGATGCCTCAGTGATGCTAAATGATACCATGGGGATGCCCAATCAAACTACAGAACGACATGCTGACCCGAACAAGACTCTAAAGGGGTTTGACTTCGTTGAGGAAATAAAAGAATTGGTTGAGAGCGAATGTCCGGGGGTGGTTTCTTGTGCTGACATCCTTGTTCTTGCAACTCGAGACGCGATTGCTTTGGTATGAACCAGCAAATTTGTCTGTAGTTATCGTTCTATTGGCATTCATACTAACCCTATTATTTATACATGCCATGCATTTTCTATTCTGCCATATTTCTTATTTTAATCGGTGGTGCAATTTTTAGCTGTGGATATGATTTCTGTAGAAGTTTGAACATATCACAAGTTAGAGATATTCAATTATGAATTCAGAATAACAAGGTTGACTTTATTCATTTTGAATTCCTATTAGTAGTACTGCACATGCCAAGTTTCAACTTCTACACACACACACACACGCACATATATGTCGTGTTAATAGATTATGTGATAGCATAGTAACGCAGAGTCAAAGCATGGAAAAGTTGCTCTCTGAATCAGATCACTGTGTTTCTTGCCAGAACTATGTAATATGATAAGTTGAATGTAGTAATTAAATCTACTGATAGCTATGGTGTGTAAGTGAATGTTCTTCTTTTAATTGCCCTGTCTTATCCAAAATGCTTAAAAGCACTTCTCTAGGTTGTTTCGCACATTTTCATTTGCTCCTCAACATAGATACTGTTTCATGTTAGTTTCAACTTCTGATGTAAATAAATTCTGTCCAAATTTTACTGATGAGTCCTCATCTACATTCTCTTGGTTTATTTCTTGTTATAACATACTCGCTTTCTGCAGTCCGGTGGACCTTATTACCCGGCTTTCACTGGCAGAAAAGACAGCACCCGTTATTATACCGCTGAGGCTACTGAGGAAATTCCGAGACCAAACAGCAACATATCCGAAACCCTTAGATTGTTTGCTCAACGTGGATTTAACGAGAGGGAGACTGTAGCTCTTTTAGGTATTCTTTCTTTTTCACATGTATATAAATTTCCAGTTGGTGTGAACTTTTTTCTGCTATTTATGTACACTTGAGGTTTGTCATGGTAATAAGAAAGCCCAACTGTCTTTGGAAAGTAATAAATGTATCTGAAACTGATTTTGTCTGACATATAATCCCTTCTATGAAAAATCAGAACCCTTGATGCCTCAAAAAATATCAGTTAGCCCATTAATTTTGATAGTTGATTAAACATCAAGGGTAATTTTTGCAATTTTGATAGTTAGCTGGGTTTTACCTTTGTTAATCTACTTTCTCTCTCTCGAAAGGGTCCCACAACATTGGTCGGATCAACTGCGGTTTCATAGCATCGAGGATCAACATGTTCGACAATGGGGCCATCCCTCTCGATTTCCTTCGAAAGATGAGAACGACTTGTCAAGTCCCAACTAGCAGCATGAGAAACTCTGAAAACAAGTTAAAGGTGAAGCGTGTATATGAAACTTCACGAAGCATGCAATATTACGAGGGACTTTCGTCATCTTCAGGCCAGCTTCCCGGAGGTGGATTTGGCAATCACTATTATCAGGCGCTACTAAAAGGCAAAGGCATTCTGACTGCCGACCAAGAACTGATGGCGAACGAGCAGACAGCAAAAGCGGTTTTTGAGTATGCTGAGGATGCAGATAAATTTAGGTTTGACTTTGCAGGTGCAATGATGAAGCTGTCCAATCTGAATGTGCTCGTCGGGCCAGCTGGAGAGGTGCGGAGAATCTGTTCTAGTGTGAACTCTTCTTAACTGGATTTCCTTTAGATGAATGTTCGTTTGTGAATTCTTCATCGATAGCTGCTTGTTAATGAGCTAGTGTAAATTCATCTTTAGGCAGTTGCTCTGAGGGACTTGTTTTCGAACTTTGGGTTAATGCAGTTTGTAATGAACTAAAACCTTGAAGCTCTTTGCATATTCTGATATGGTTGGGATCTTGAATTGTATTCTCTTTTTTGGATTTTATCTTCCTTTTCAAATGCTTGGCTAGAAAGCAAAGGAAGTTGAGAATGGGAGAATTATTGTGCTTTTTTAGCCTGTGAATGAAAGAAGCTCTGGTTTTGAGTTGGCATTTGGAATTAACCATGTGCCTTTTACTGCTATAATGATGTTTTTCTTTGTTTCTCATTTTCTACCATTGGTTTAAAATTGAAACACGAAAAGATGAAACTGAAAGGGTATTTTTGTAATTGAACACCGACTTCATCACCAGGACTTCAAACGAGCCGAGTCGAGCATTAGTCTTATCGAGCAAGACTGATTTTTTTTTTTTTTTACATGCTTAAGCTCAATGACCTCGATTTATGGCGCTCGGGATCGACTCGACAAAAGAAGACAATTGCTCGAGCTCGGCTCCAGATCGATTGAAATCAAAATGTTCGAAAGATTGCTCGAGCTCGGCTCGAGTTCAACTCAAATTTGAAGAGAAAATTACCATCAAGTACAGCTCGATCGACTCGATAACATGCTCGAGCCGTTCGAGCTCGGCTCGAGTTCGGTCAAACTCGAGCTCGAGCCAAGCTTTGACTCGAACGCTCGCGAGCCGCTCGATTGGTTTGCAGCCCTAAAATTCACCACCTAATATTCTTTCATTACAACTAGTAAAGAAAAAAAAAACAAAGATGCACACTTCTCAACCTTCTGCACACAAAATATGAAACTACAGAACTTCCATTCAAAATCCCCAAAAGAAGTATCATTTGTACATCTGTGAGGTGAAAACCCGCGCATAAAGTCTGTCGAAAACACTCTCCACAGCACTAAAGTCGACATCAAATCCAAAGGTCTGACCTCCATACAACACGTAAAGATACTCCTTTGACGAGCCCGGTGGAGGGAGAACTTCACCCAGTTCCGGCAACTCTTGAGAAGGTGGTAACGGCACGTTTTTCTTCCTCGAGTAATAAACATCGGCCAAAAGAAGCCATATCAAATCGGGGTCGATCGAAGCTAATCCCACCAAGGCATTCACACAAGAATCTTGCAGGCCTTTTACACCACTGCACGAAATCCCGACCACAATTCCGCTTACTTTCTTCAAAACAGCTTCCAATGACGAGGCGCTTTTCTTGTTTCGGGCTAAATCCGAGATCATGTCGAGTATTGCGGCTTGAACTTTTATGTTGGAAGTCTCGGCCGGTGGGCTTTCAGCATGTTGGGAACTTTTTCTGTAAGGGAGCTTTAGAGGGGACTTTTCAGGGAGTCTCGTCTGGAAAGGTGATGAAATTAGGTGTTTCCAAATGTGGGCCCCATCGGTATGAAAACGGCGGGAGAAGAAGTCTCCGCCGCAGATTTGGATGACGCTGGCGATTGTTCGGCAGCACTGCCTGATGGCCTGTGGATTGAATAATCGAGTCGCGATTAAGATAATTAATAATCGAGTCGCCTAGGATTTTGTTTTTATTAATTGTTAATAGTCGTTAATAAGAACGCTAATGTGTTCTTTAAAAAAAAAAATCTGACAAATTAGAAACTGAAAATCATGTTGGTATTTAGGGTGTGTGATTGGATATGGATTTGATTGGAAAAAAAAAAAAAAAAAATCAATCATTTTTAATTCAATCACTTTTTATAACTAAACATTAACCCAAAACCTCACCATTATTCTCAACATCATCAATATAATTAAATAATATCACTTAGGCATTCTTACACATCACATCAACATTTAATTCAATGTTCATCCACTCACATAATTTTAACTTACTATCACTTCACATCATCTCTCTCCTACTTTTACATCAAATCAACTTTAATCATTTTATTTTAATTATTATTTCAATATAAATTCAAAATCTCAATAACAATTGACCATACCACTTTTTCTTAAAAATTAACTATGATTAACAAAAAAACCAGCTTACCAATAGATTTTTACTCCGGAAGCAAGCAACCAAGAACGGCCAAATTTTATTCATTGCAGGAAGCAATCTATTCTCCTGTGTCTCATCCTCAGCAGCACCAAGAGTATCCATAAGGCTATGAAACGAACATGACTCAACGACTTGTTGGATCATCTCTTTCGTTTCGCTTTCACGCTTGTAGGCTTCTTCCACTTTCGCAAGCACTATAACACCATCCTAAACAAAATATTAAAGAAATATATTAAACATGAATGCACGAACAATTTCAAACCAGCTCTAAGAGGGAAGTACCTTCACCAATCAATTTGGATAAATCGTGTTAAAATGAGCAAACAGAAATCAAAATAAATAAATAAATAAATGATGTCGCTAATTTGCAATTATGTGAGAAAATTGTGCGATTAATACCTCAATTACGCTTAGTGTTGTTAAGCATGCAGCTGGGTCAGCTGAAGTAATTAACGGAGTTACAGCAATCAGACATGATCCTGCAATGGATCCCACTATTCTTCTGTATCTTTTGGAATCGTTAAACTTGAATATAACTTTCTCCCATTCCTCCTCTTGCATTGCAGACCCACTCAGGTGAACTTCCTCATCTGTTTCACAAATCACGATAGAATCAAATTGAGAAATTAGGCATTTTTTTTCTGCCAGTTTTGTGATATAAAATTTGTTCGTACTTTATCCTTGCATACATTACAAAGAGATTATTCCTCCATATTGCCCACGTATCATAAAGCTCTAAAGATGTACTTACCAATGTCCATTTTCTCAGTGTCCATGGGATTATTAGCATATAATTCAGAACGGTCGTAGAGCATTCCTTCTCTCTTCTCTGCATCCGCAATTTTCAAACTAATATCCTTCTTGAATGACTCGGCTTGATTGGGTAATTTATTTGCCTCACGTTTGGAAGATTTGGCTATTTCTGCCACTGCCTGTACAGAGAAAGATAAATACGTATGACGAGGACTTAGGGTGTGATTGGATATAAACTTGACCAATAAAAAACCAATCAAACTCAAATTTAACTCAACTTTATCTCAACCCCACTATCCTCAATATTATCAATATAATTAAATAACATCAACCAATCATTCTTATACATCACATCAACTTTAATTCACTATTCATCCACTAGAATAATTTTAACTAACCATCACTTCCAATCATTTTCTCCTACTTTTACATCAAATCAATTTTTAATTATTTATTTTAAATATTATTTATTTCAAACTTAAATTCCCACTAGCAACTAACTATACCACCATTTTCAAAATTAACTATGGTTAACAAAAGAACTAATAAAAAACCAATCAAATCTATATCCAATCACTTAGCATCTCAAGTCAACTAAAATCATGACAGGAAATACAAAATGGACTCTTCAACACAGTTCCAATTTTCTACAAAAAATGAACCACCAAAAGTGAAGGCAACATGAGCTTATATACATTTTTCTAGAAATAATAAGGTACTTCCAGCTAAAAAAAAATCAGGGATATATTTGAGCTAGATGCAATCATAATGCCCCCAAACAAATGACATCATTCATGTTTTCCTAATTATCCCTTCACCAATATGTTTCAGAAGATTAATCAGAAAAACTAGAACCATTAGATAAAAAATTAGAAAACAAGTGCTAGCCAAAGATGACCTTCAAAAAAGGCAGGGTTAAATCGGGGTGATGATGCCTCCCAAGAATTTCAAGCTCCATAGAGACCGAATGCATCTGCACAAATCAACAGGTAACAAGACTAACATTTAGACAAAAATGAATAAGGCAATTTATTGAAAAAAAAAAATAGACATCTGCCAAACATTTAGCTAATACCGGCTCTTCCAACAATGGCAATATCTTATCAGCTACCCCAACGTAAGAAAGCATGGCCGAAAGAACATTAGGCACGTGTGGATTAAGATCCAAGTGGCGCAGTTGCCTACAAACAGAATCGATTATATAGTCTGAGTTTGCCAACACCAAGTGACCTACCTGCAATAATTTTGTCAAAAGTACAGATTACAAAATTTTATAAGACGAACCAAAATCAAAGAAGAACTGCACCAGAAATACTCACAGTAGGACAGTTCTGCATAGCAGAGACAGCATGCAACACAGCATCAGCAGCCCTTTTGACTTGAAAATTCGAGCAAATAACATTTTCAAGCAACATGTACAGTGACGAATGAAGAAATCCAGATGATGAAAATTGTTCACCAAGGCATATGTTGAATATGCCTATTCCTTCAATAATAACCTGTTGTTGGTTAAAAAAAATAAAAAAATAATAATTAAATAAGTGCACTGTTGAAATTTGAAAAAAAAATATTATCCATGGCCAAATATATTAAAGTAATAAAAACCTGATGCAGCATCGCATTATCACTAAAGAAGTGCAAGCTTATGTCCCCATTTTCTCCAGATTGTTCTAGAGAAGCCGTGGGCCCAAGAGGAAGATCCCAGATTTCAGGCGATAAATATTCATGCAGGATACCACCAATGCAATCGATCAAATGAGTCCTTTTTTCAACTCTCTTTCCATGGAGCTTATGAACCCAACTTTCTAGCAATTCATCTTCATATTGGCCTTTGGTTTTATCTTGTGGGCTGGACCCAAACATTCTGCCAAATGACATGAGGGCCCGATCAGACAGCCCAAACATCAACTCGTTCAGAAGGCATACAGCAGTACTAGCCTGCCTCACCAAACGGCCCGAACCAGGCCTGTACCATGTCTGCCAGCTGTTCTTGCCGTGTTCTTTCCTTCGTAGCTCAGATATCAATTCACGGAGGTGTCCCATGAGAATATCAATTAAACCAGAATAGGAGCCCTCTGTCTCGGAATCTGTAAACAGAGAATGAGGTGACCTCATTTTTTATTTTTATTTTTTGTCACTTGAAAAGGAAATTTATGTTAAACAAAACAAATATGGCCAAAAATGCTGACCTGAGAAAGTGTATAAGCTGACAAGTCTTAAAATTCCTGCAAGGATCTGGTACAGCTTTTGGCTACCCTCATGAACAAACCAAGGTGGCATTCTAGGCAGCTCATATTCGTTCATTAATGGTTCGGATGTGTGCAAATTTTTCCTGTTTTGGAAACCTAAAAAGTGGGAATTTTCATCGTCTGCACTGATAATAGCCTTGATCTCAGATATAGAATGCATAAAGCCTGATAAGGATGGTCTCGCTACTGCAAGGTTGTTGAGTGAAC